GAGGTTGAAGGAGGGAAGCCATAGCCATGGTGGACTTGTTGTTGTTGTTGTTGTTGTGAGTTGAGTCAGCAGTAAGAGGGAACTACGGATATTGATTCTGGTTCATCCGTTCATCGTTATTATTATTATTGAGAGAAGAATAAGATTGGTGAAGTGAAGGAGGAGGAGGAAGGTGGAGAGAGAAGGGGGAATTGTCATTGGTCTTGCTGGTGTACTTCTTCTTCTTGTTCTTGTTCTTGTTCTTCTTCTTCTTCTTCTTCTTCTTCTTCTTCTTCTTCTTTCTCTCTCCTCTGGTCTCTATCTCTTTGCAAGTGCTTTCATTTCTTTCACAATTGGGTGGCATTGTCTTTCATTGTGAATTTGCACTTGGGAAATGACCAGGATCGTAACACAACAGACCTACGGATCAAATCCACACGACCTGGGCTTCACACACAAGGCATTTATACACGGGTTTGGGGACAGGTTGTGGGTTCAAGGCACACGGGGTCAACGAACAACACAAACGTACTGTACACTGGGTTGGGGAAAGTCTGGGGATCAAGCCCCGGTATCTGCAATCGTTGCACGGACTGGGTGAAACCCTTTCATTTCCACTCAAGAAAAAGAAAAGCAGTGAAAAAAAAAACAGATGAAAGACGCTGAAGGCATTCGACTGCTCCCGGCCTCTGACTAGGGCCAGCCCGTGTTCAAGTCTCCAACGAGGGAACATGCAGGGGCTGCACTCGACCTGCAGGTGGGCGATACCTGCCAAGGGTCACCCGGTAGCATCAGGACCGAGCTTCTTCGATGGGCAAAATCACTGTGCTTCCCCTCTGTTCTCCTCTCCCAAAGAACATCAGCTCTCACTGCTCAATGCTACTTGGGGGAACCAAGGGGCTCTCTCTAGGTGGTGGGCACCAAGCTTGTGCAGGAAGGCACATGAGGCGAATGGGGATTGAACCGGAAACCTCCTGAATGCCACTAGCGTCGCTTACCAACTGATACACGGGGAGTCCCTGATAAACAGTGAGATTCTTCTTTCTCAGGAGAAAAAAAAGAAAACAAAGTCAAAAACGAATAGCAAGCTACCGAGGCCTTGTGGTACACCCTACGTCTGGCCAGAAGTACAGTCAGATGCATTCTGGACAGAGCTGCGCGAGAACACCTTGAAAAGAACGGGGCTGACAAAGCAATAGATTGTTCCCCGCCCCTCATGGGGAGTCACATGAGAAGCAGACAACATTCTAAAAAAAAAAGAGTCCAAAAAAAGGGAAAAAAAAAGAAAAACAAAGACAGATGGGCATTTCAAGCTCTGAACTACTTGCGGTGTGTCTACCCTCATTTTGCACATTTGGTGAGTAGTGGAGCGAGGCCCTAGATCTTAACAGCTCTCCTGCCAAAGGTAAGCACGTTTTTTTTCCCTCTTTTTTTTCTTAGTAAGCCCTGCGGACAAAGAAGGGCAGGCCAGATCTGCTGATATAGCATATACTTCTATAACTTTTTGCTTACTCACATTTTTCATAGAATCATTAGAAGTTCATCATCATCATCATCATAATTGCCATAATCATCATCATATGAGGGACGCTGAGCCCTGTTCTCAGCTTTTTCGGATCGGTCACTCTGGGTAGACTGTGAGGACCCCGGCCTCAATCTTCTTATTGGTAAAAAAAAAAAAAAAAAAAAAGTCCGCCCCAGACCCAAATCATCCGCCCCTATTTGGAAACGGGAAAAAACTCCATCCCTCAAACGGGAAACTGTGGAAGGAGTCATATGCTAAATTTGAACGACCTTGACAAGCTAACCTGCCCTGCAACCGGTCTTAGGGACGACTGCGACCGGACCCTTTTTCTGCTTTTGGAAACCCCAGAAGGACCCGTCCTAGCAACGCCTTACTGCAAGACTTTACCCAAAATGGAAAGCACACAAAACGACGAAAATACAACCCACACAAGCACAGCCTCCTGGCTGCGAATTAAAAACGACCTGCCAACTACTGGGCCGTCCAGTCTATTACCCGGCCTCTCATCCAGGCCGTGCGATTGGCCAAGGATCTGACCGTCCCGCTGAGTAGTGTGGCCAAACTCTGGCCCAGGCCTCAAAACGTGTCGCCTGGGTCCCCACCTGGACCTGGGCCCTCCCCCCTGTCTCAGCAATAGGTTGGATAAAAAAGTGGACCCAGCCATAGACAGATCAGCTGGGCCAAACGTAAAATGGTATCTGCCAGAGGTCTGAACAGGACAAATATGTGCCTGTTCGGACGAGATAGATTGAAATTTGAAAAGAAAGCAAAATGAATAAAACTGCGCTGACACAGCCTCCTAGGGGCCTCAGAGTAGCCAAGCCTTTTTTGGCCAGATGAAGGCGTAGGCAGCCAAGGGGGCAGCCAAAAGGGATGTCCAGCCCCCAGGCCCAGTGTAGGGCCCCCAGCATGCCACACATAGACTCTAGGGCACGCAAGCAATGCAGCAAAACACACACACCCCTGCTGTGCTAGAGCCTAGTGGTGCTGACAGGGCCAGACACCACTAGCACCCAGGGGGGAGGCTCCATCTATTGGTGGGGAGCATCACCTGCTGGAAAACGGGTCCAGCGTCCCTTTACAGAATGCATTGCAGAAAAGATACAGGCTGGATCAAGAGAAGTTGACTGATTGTGAAACCTGCCAGCATTGATTGCTCTGGTCACCAGAGGATTGACTGTGCAGGTTGTTAAGGAAGGGGAGGAAACCTCTGCGCCCTTGCACCAGGCGCCAGATATCTACTGCTGAGAAACTAGTCCCACTCTTCTTCCTTTGTTTTTTAAATGCCTCCCTTTTCCTTTGAGATCGTGAACTTCGCCTGCCAGCATTGATTACCCTGAGATCCTCAGGGGATTAAGCAGGAGTGACCGAGCGCCTGACAACCATCATTAATTGGCTCTCCTTTGCATGCTAGGGTACCAAATTTCCGACCGTGTCTTCAGTGGACCGGTCTGATGTGCAAGGGGGCGGGGAGGCGGGTTCTGCTTCCAGGGGGCGATTGGGGCAGACTACTAGTCCTCCCTATACCCCATCCATCATGATCGGTTCACTAAAGTCACTGTTGGAGAGGTTACCCTGTGTCACGACCATACCAGCTCAATTCAATCAAGACATTGTTGGGTAAGGGGAATAGGTCAGGGAATTCAGAGTACACCCACTAACTTGGGTAGAGGATAGGTATTGGGTTATTCCTCGACCTAAGGCGCAATCTGTTAAAGAAGGAGAAGTGGGTGAGGTGCGGAGAGATCTGGTGCTGGACAGTTTTTGGGTAAATATGTTAAAAATTTGGCGTAAACTGCCCATACCTTACAAATCACCTCCTTCTAGGTACGAAGAGGTACTTAGACAACCAATTTTTGGTAATAGATGGATCTCGGATGCAAAAGGAAGGGTGTTTATAAGCTCCACATCCCCGTGGTCCACTTGGGTTAAACATGGTATAATTAGGATTAAAGACTTGTGGAATTCAGGGAACAAAAGTTGGAAATATGTGGATCAGTTAAGAAAAGAAATTAAGTATGCACATAATTTGGAAGTGAATCTGGAGATTATCACTTCATCCATTCCTTTAGCCTGGTTGGCCACCTTGAAAAAGGGGCCTGTTTTGAGGGTAGGAGACTGGGTATGTGCGCATCTAACGGAAGGTTCCAGGGTAGTAGGACAGATACTAGATATTCATGTAGATGGAGCCCTAATAAATGTCTTAGCACTTCGGAGAAATTATACCCTGTCACAACACACTAATGATGAAGTGTTGTTTGTTTAGTTTCAGTCATTATATAGAGTAAGGACTATGTATTGCCCAGTTTCCAACACATGGAAGGTGTTTTGTCCTAACATTCCAATACCAGAACTCCCTTTAGATCCTGAGGAATGGACCTGGAGGGCGAATAGGAGGTGCAAAGCTCAGAAGTAACAATCCCTATCGGTTAAAGCTTCATATAGACTGTTAAGACCAAGGGTAGATGGTCTTGCGGTCTTACAAGAACGGTGGGCGCGACATTTGAATGTCTATATGGATCTGCTCATACCAATCAAGTGGTGCCAGGGATTCAAAGAGAGACCGGCTAAGTTTGCCTCACTCCAGTGGCAGATTGCACATCGGTGTCTGCCAACAAACGACTGGTTGATTGATCATTCCACGTTGGAGCAGAGGGGGTTTGCCCTGCCTTGGTGTGAAGGTTGTCTGGATGCGTTTCCCAGCAGAAAGATAAGGGAAACAATTGAACACATATTTTTACAATGTCCAGGGGCAAAACTACTTTGGAGACGTTGGGACTATATTTGGAATAGGCTAACAGGTCTTGATTGGCCATGGGATTGGAGAGCGATACTCTTGGGACACTGGTACCCGGTCCTCACTCATTTTTTGAACTTTCAGCAAAATTTATATAATATAGGTAGAAAATCGATGCTATGGGTGTTATGGTATAGAAGATGTGTTTTCACAATGGATAAGGTAAAGATCGACGGTGGAGAATTATTCGAACTAGTACAACAACTTGAGGAAACAGAGGTTAGATATCAATGGGAAAGGACTAAAGAAGGAATTAATACGTTACATCAAAAACTTGATATAAAGAAATGAATATAGAGTTTTACAAAGGACTGGTTGGGGGATTCTCCTAGGGGGAAATTGGATAAGGTGGAATGGCCAGGAGGGGAGGAGGATGGAGCAAACATCAAGGGAGATTACAAGATCATCTTCCATGACTTGTTTGATGTCCAACCAGGAGCCATATTGAGATCTCCAGAATTTTTCCCGGATCCCTTTCCCCCTTCGGACCTGGCATTAGTAGATTTACAGTGGTATGGGGGGGGGATGAGTAATGGTAATTCGTCCAGGATCACCGGACAACAGCATTCACTTGTTTTAATTGGGTTGGGACAGAGGGAATAATTGCTAGTGGAAAAAGTAGTAATCTGGCGGCATTTTGTAGCTGAAGAGGTAGCTCTCCTTCTGGCTCAACAATTTTCTACTATGCTCCTGAATAATCTGTGTAAGAGGGACGCTGGACCCGGTTTCCAGCTGGTGCAGCTCCCCACCAATAGAATGGAGCCAGTAGCCAAGCTGCTAGTGGTGGATGCTCGTATCACCATCACTAGCAGCTACGGCATGTTAAAAAAAAAAAAAAAAAAAAAAGGGAATTCAGAGGCAAGGGGGAGTGGGATGTTGCTAGGAATTGCAGTTCAATCGTGGAAGGTCAATCGGTAGTTTTTCTACGATGTGTCCAACTGATCGTTGTCATCCAAGTGCCAACCATCCCACTGAATCTTTGCTATCCATCCTCCCTGTTCTCCCCCTAGCCAGTCCATGCAAAACTCATGTAGTTTTTGGACAACGTCGGTTCTTTTTGTGAGGGCTTATCATTGCTTGTACAATTTTTTTCCACTGGGCTTTGATTGCTGTTTCTATCATGTCTTTAATCATGTCCATCATCTCGCCTTTTTCCACATGGGCGCTTTCAAGTGCTAGAGTGCATCTCCAACGCCATATGGCCCATAGGACCGCATCCCTCCCGACCTTAAATAAGTTGGCCGTAAAGGTCGAGGTTTGAGCGGTCCAATGACCAGTTAGCAAGGCTCTCCATTCCCACGGCCAATCTCTATCCGTGCCTAGCTGGTTCCATATCCGAACCCACCCCCGCCATGTCAGGATTGAAGCTGGGCACTGCAAAAAAAAAAAATGTTTTATTGTCTCATTAGCCTTTTGAGAAGGAAAACCTTCTTTGCACGCCAGGCACCAGGGAGGGCCAAGCCTTTCTGCTCCAGGTGGGTATGGTCAATGAGCCATGCGTTTGTGGGTAGGCAGCGATGGGTGATCTGCCATTGCAGTGAGGCGGTCTTGGCCGGTTTGGACTTTACCCTTTAAACCATTTAATGGTTGTCAGGGAATTAAAAGGGACATTTAAGTGCCTTGCCCAACGATCCACTATACGGTCCTTCAAGTTGATTCTGGTCCTAAGCATCCAATAGGAAGCCTTAACCCCCAGTGAGTGGAGATAATGATATTTTGGTTTGCCATTCCTTGGTGGAGTTTTCCATCTCCACTCAGCTGCATCTATGGGGAGGTCCTGGATTGGCACCTCCGACCTGAATGCCACCCAGAAGTCCCCTTCTCGTAGGATCCTCACTCTATGGACTATTCCAACATCAATCCATAAAACTTCATCGACACTCCCCTGACCAATCTGTTCTGCTGTGTTCGATAGAAAAAGTTCACCAGCACCTCCACTGGTCTATCTGTAATTAGTTGTCCCGCCCGCGTTGCATCCCTCTTAAAACCACCAAGTCACCTTCCTCCACTGTTGGCCCCCGCCGACGGGTCCTTAGCCATGCAAGAGAGAGGGCGAAGAGGATCTGGTCTAGCCTCTCACCTATTCTTTGGCAGTGGGGGAGTTTTGTTCTCAGTGTTCTCAACTGCTACTCTGAGACTCAGTTAACCTTGGTTTGGTCCCACAGATCCCCTACCCTCGTGACCCCGTTTCTTACCCATCCCTTCCACGGCCGGCTCAAGCTGAGAAAAACCCGCCCCTGTTGATCTGTTACCCATCGGTTTCCAAATAGGGGTTGGCGAAAAACTTCCTCCCAACGTTCAGGGAATGGTCTATCCGGAAGCGGGAGTCTCCTCCGGTCTTTAATTAGATTGATCAAAAAAACGTTTTTTCTCTGGTCCTTGCGAGCTGCTGTCCGATCTGAGTGTGGTTGTGACCGGGTGGGGGGTCTGTGGATTGCCCAGAAGACATCGTCTAACCATGCCATAGGATGTACGGTAGGGGCAGCTTCTGGTGCCAGTCTCGAGAGTTATTCCCAGGCTAGGGGCTCCCAGGTAAGTCCGGGGGTGCAGACAAGTCGCTTCAACCATTGGAGTGAAAGGGCGGTCATTTGGGTGGTTGGGTCCCTAAACCACCTTGTGACCTTGGCTGCACTACCGCATCCCAGGCTACCCGACTGATGGTATGATGAACTTCGTGATTGCGTCTCCATAGGAAGGCTGCTACCTGTCGTTTCAGGGCCTTTGAAGTTGCTCTGGTTAAAGGCCAAATTGTCGATTTATACCAGAGTGCTGTCAGAACCACGTTACTAATGACTAGGGCCCTTCCCAAAAGAGATGTGTTTTTATCCTTCCAAGTTCCCAGCTTTTGCAGGGCCAGACACATTACCCAATTGTCATTACTAACGGGTTTTCCTTCAGCTGAGAGTTGGATTCCCAGGACTCTAATGGGGGTTTCCAAGGGAAGCCATGTCAAATTTGGGCGCTCTGGGGGTCTTCCACCATCATGGTGCATCCACCATCCCAGTGTTTTGTTGCCCCAATTAATTGTCATATCAGAGAGGGAGCAAAACAAGGCCATCAACTTTTCAATTTCCTCCATATTTTGACTGGATGCCTCAACCATCAAGGTGAGGTCATCTGCAAACAACGAACACACCTGCAATGTGTCATGTGGGATGGAGGTCGTCCTGATTCTACTGATGTTCCGGTTGGCTCTAAGATTGGCTGCCAAGGCCTCCATCACAACCACAAAAAGATATGGAGCGATCGGGTCTCCTTGGCGGACAGATCTCTGTAGAGGAAAATTTGGGGCAAGACTTCCATTTACCTGCACACGCGTGGTAGCGTTTTGGTGAAACATACGCACCCATTTCCGAAAGGATCCTCCAAAGTTCATTTTCTCCAAACATTTATCCGAGAAATGCCAGTCCACATGGTCATACGCCTTTTCAAAATCTATAAAGATGAAGGCGGCATTACTCCTGGACTGTCGAGATAATCTCAATAGCGCATTAACTAGGAGGATGTTATCATGGATGTGTCGCCCTTTAAGGAAGCCAGTTTGAGAGGGGTGGATGATTTGCTCCAATGTCGGAGCCATGCGGTTTGCCAATGCTTTCGATAGCATTTTATAGACTACGGTTAATAGTGTGATTGATCGATAGTTTCGTATATTCATTTTATCTCATTTTTTGTACAACAGTGTGAGAACCCCTTGGCCCACTGCTTCCCCCATATCTCCTTCTGCCACATCTTATCATAAAAGGTCATCAAGTCCTCTGCCATCTGTGACCCAAAATGTCAGACGAAAATTCTTTCGGGAACCCGTCCACTCCAGGGGTCTTCTCCTCTTTCATTTGCATAAGAGCAGTCCATATCTCTCAGCGAGTCAGACGAACAGTATCTCAGACTGCAACTGTACAGTTCATTGACTTCAAAAAATCATTTAAAAATGTCAAATTGTCAATTGTATTCTGCTACTTAGATGCTTTAGCAAAGATCTTCCCATTATCACTTTGAGAAAATTCAATATTGGATTCTTCCCTATGGGTGTACAGTAAGTTTCACACAATCCTTCCTATGCACCATTAGACATCACAAGGCAGGCGACAACAGTCATATGGCTGGATAGTGAGAGGTGCAATAGAAGTAACAAGGGGCACCTAACCCATGTGGCTTGTGTACCATCTCCTATGTTATCTTTTTCTTCTCATATGCTTGGGTCGTTTTCAACACTATGGATGATGTGAGATGTGTGCGTGGACGCATTTTTGCACTCTCATGATGTGACCATCAATCACCTCCCACACGGTCATCCACCCCATGCCGAGTTTTGTTGGGCAAGGCACACAATTAAATCACAGAAGAATCAGCATCAGTATTCTTTGCCAAATAGGACAAGAGTAAGGCCAACCAGCACGCAAAAGAGCAATTCCAAGATCTGCATTTGGAAAAATGGAAAACAACCAGGACACAAAAAAAACAGGACCCATAGCAGCAACCAGACTGAGACAACAGAGAAATCAGAATGCACAGACCTGGAAAAGGAGCTCATGGTTGTTGAAGTTCAATCAGAAAAATTGAAGAAACTCAACGCCGCCTATGGGTCTGAAGACTCTGAACTCACCTCCCTCCAACACATTGCAGATGGAAAAGCCCCTCATGTGCTGCACTGAGCTATGTCCGCCAGGTTGACCTAGATGGGAGTGTGCCCTCTGATTGCAGCACAGTATGTCGAAGAAGCTGGGGAGTGCCCAGTAACTACAGATGTATCATTCACGATCCCGCTATTTGCGGATGACCATAATCTTTTTTTTGTTTTTTGAAATATCCCGGTGTCTTTGCTAGGAGAGGTGACAAGAGCACCCCCTCCTAGCAAGAGACCTGGGTGCTCCGGTCTATTGGTGGGGAGCAACACCTGCTGGAAAGCGGGTCCAGCGTCCCATTGTACATCCGACCACCTGCTAACATTGATTGCCCTGTTTCCAGGGGATTAACTGAGCAGGGTTAATGATAAACGTGTTGGACAACAGTACACTTCAGGGCGCCGCCTCTTCAGTCTGCGCCAGACCGCCAGATCACTCATGTTTCCCTAGCGGCTGCTTCTACTTCTTTTGAATACCCGCCGATACCTTCCGTGCCCTGTTTGTTGACCCGTTGCTTCCTTACTTGGTCCCATGAGTCTGTGGTCTTGCATGTGGTCATGCTCACTCTGCTCCGTACCATTGCATATCGACCATTGCCAGTTGGTGGGGTGGGAAGGGGTCGGGAAATTATGTGGATGGTCGCAGCGGGATCTCCTGGCCCACCATAGTCCAGTCTCTGAAGCAAATACATTAGTCTCTCCTGAATTTCTCCTGGTTACACTCCTGGGCGGGCCTGCCATCCCATCGGACATGCGATCCGACCCCCATCCTCACTGCCCAACCAGTCCCAGAGAATTGATGAATTGCTTGTGTTAGTTATGTCCTTTGGTGAATGAAACATCTCAAGTTGGTTTTTAACTTTTTGCCACTGATCTCAGTAATTCAGGAGATTATTACAGATGCCTCCCTGCTGGGCGTATATGAAACTGAAGAAATCGAACAATCAGCGGCCCATCAGGAGACAGCCTCACAGCAAGAAGACAGCAAGGCTCTCAAACCAACTCAGCCCAAAGTAGGCATGGTTCTTTCACACCACTGAATGCCAAAATGCCTGAAAAAACGAGATTAAATGGGGGCATGATGTGGTGATCTTGGAACACAGTGGTGGCAATCCCCTACATCGCGCTGTTGGGATTGGGGGGCCCTGCAGAGCTGTCAGCGACATCGCTGGCAGACATCCTCAGAGCAGGAACTCAATGGTGACGCAGATCTCGATTCCAGGGCGTTCGCTCTGGATCTGGACTGCTACTATAAAGATGAATTCTTAGAGGACGACATGGAGGACTGGCCTAGTGACGAATGCACAGACCAGGGCCTGATGCTATTTCCAAGGAAAGAGGTTAGTGGCAGCATAGGTGAGTACAAATTGGACGGCCTTCTGGCTGGAGCAAAAACAGACCCAGCGGGAACTCCCTCCGAGGCAACAGCCTCACCTAAGTCGACCTGGTTGACATTACCATTTCATCAACGGTGTCTTCAACATGGAGGGGCTCAAAAGCAAAGCCAATCAGCAAAGCCCCAACGTGAATTGTAGGACAGAAGGTATCACCATCCGTAGTTGGAATGTCAACGGATTGGGTAATATACTCATCAAGGAGGACAAATTAAATCACATTATTGCAAGTCTTAAACCATCGGTACTTCCTAAAATTATGCCCGTTAACAAGCCACAATTTTAGGAAAAGTACGGGCCACTATAGGAGCGCCCAAATTCATCTGACTATAAATGTTTCAACTCTATTTTTTTACCACGGCCGATAGCTGGGCCAAGTACTGGTCGTTTAAGAATGAGAACAACAAAATAGCAGATATTATAATGCTACAAGAGACCCACCTAACTGACCATGATGAACATATAAAACTACAAAAGGCGTTGATGAGGAAGTTGGGAGGGATTAAAGACGTAATGTGGGCCTTTGACAACACGGCAAGCGGAAAAGGAACAACAATCCTACTTGAAAACTCAATAACAATGTTGTTTAGAGGTTTATCACATTAAAAATCACATTGCATACGCGCGGAACGGTGTCCACATCAGACCTTCTCCTCTACTCCTCAGTCCCAGTAGGAGTAACACTCCTAGAAGCTTAAATACTCAAATCATCCCTTCTTTATGAGGCGAACTAGTTCCGCTGCATCGACCATGATACCTTGAGTGAGGTACGAGAAATGAAGACAAATTTGAATCTACCAAAGAAATTGCCTAAGTTCATTAAAAAAAACTTATTCAAACAGATCTGTACGTCGGCCTCAAAGAGTCCGGCCACAGGTCTGATTTTTTTTTAAAGATACCAGCCGATGTATCTAGTCTTTGAGCATTTGTAGATTCGGTGTGACGATAATCGCTGCCGGCGGGAAATGTGCTCGAACTGTGATGTGCCACAAACCTCTAAAACAACTTTCAAAAAACGTGAAAAATATATATATTACCTTAAGATCAGTGCAGGTCCAGTATTCCCGCGTTTGATATATTCCACGCATACCAGCAGAAAACGACAAAAAAACGAAAAAACGTGAGGCTTCTCCGTGTGAGTATCGGAGGATCGTGTTCGCAACCCGTCCTCGCATCACATCCAGGATCTGGTCAATCGACTCTGTGTCGGCGCGAAGTATCTTCTTGTCACTTCCATTCGTCGTAGCAGGCTTGCAGACGCTCGGTGAGTTGTCGCCAGATCCCTCCCAATTTAGTGGCCACCTTCGTCATTGCCCAAAACAAGTAGATACTTGGGAACCCCATTCCTCTCAGCTCACGATGGTAAGTAACAATCGTTGAAGGGAGCAGAGCATCCGAGCTAGTATTTGTGTGAATTTTGTATAGTGTTCCCATAATCGTCGCAATATTTTGTTCTTTTGGTGAGAAAGACTTGAAGTGTTTGGTTGTCATGTATCTGGGTCTTGTCGGGTCATCCCAGACACTTTCACTGTTCTTAAATTTGTGCATGGTTATCGCCTCATCTAGTTGTTCACACACAAAAATCTTGGTGCCCATAAACTCCACGATATTCATCCCAGTATCTGTTCTTTCTAGTATCAAGTCTTTGTGGTAGCATGTGGAAATACTATCAAATATTTTTTCAGTCCTTTCTCTTTCGGCGGCCTTTTCCTTGTACAATCCCATCAAAAAAAAGTCATTGACATATCTCTTACAAAAAAACAATTTCAAATGAACTCCTAAGTTTTTTAGAAAGCTGTTCTCAGCAAACATGCAGCCGAGACAGGCTAGTGGCGGGCTCACTTGCCCTCCCATTGGTATGCTGCTATTCTGCTTGAGGATTTCACCTGTGGATTTAAAAAATACATTATCCAACAGAAAATCTACTAATTTTTCGAGATCTAACATTCTCACAGATTTCCAACCACTTTCTTCTGCTGACTTTCTTAGTGTCGCCCCTTTACCCGTGGTCTTTACTCTGATCCAATGCTTACCTTCCATCCTTACTTCATAAAAAATCCATTCTATTGCTTTCCTTACTTTGTCGTGCATAATTTTTTAGAACATTTCCTTAACATCATACGTCCGAATTAGTATTTTTAATTTGTTTTTTTTAAATCGTTGGTTCATAATTTGTAGTTTGGGCTTTAAATCCATTCCTGCCATAAGGTTGAAATGCTCTTTCTCCATCCCACGAATTATGAAATTCAGAGCTCTGGCCAGGTAATTGTTTGCAAATCTAGCAGGACTAAGAAAGGAAGGACATATACGTCTTTTCTTCTTGACGTCTTTGTCTTTGCTTATAATAAACGCATTTTTGAGGCATTCTTTATTGTCCATTTCGCACCCTCCCTAGCTTGCTTCTCCTGAAGTCGTTTCTCATTTGTGTGATGATTTCAAAGAATTCGATAATTTACTCGACGAGCTCAGTCATCAACACAGGAGCCGACGAGGAGGATGGAAGATGGTGCTTCACGGACTTGAGATGGAAAAAAGAGGAGTTAAGATTGATCAACATCTACGTCCCCAATGACCGGTGCAACAAATCCACTTTTATTCAGTCATTGGGGTGTCTAATCCCACCTTTACCAGTGTGTATTCTAGCAGGCGATTGGAATGTCATATTTGACCCTACCAATAACCGTATTTCCAAGGCAGAATCACCCCAAACCTCACAGGGGGCTGCTCCGGTTCAAAAACTGATCTTGGACCATAATATGGTGGACCCATATCGCACACTTAACCCAACAAGCAAATATAATTTTCTCTAGTCAAGAAACATCATGCACAACATACAACTTTCTCTCATATATACTACTTTCTCTTGTCCGATCAGCTCATGGGTACAATCAAGGAAGCGAAGATTTTGGCCCTACCCCGCTACCTGGACCTTGATCATAAGCCCATCGAGTTAATCATCAATTTTTACCAGTATATCACCAAGGGATGGAGCTTTCGTAAGCTAAACAACTCCCTCCTCCGAAGTCGATAATTCCAAGAGAATGTCATAAAATATTGGCAAAACTCGAGAGGCAGATACATATCGGGGCAAAATTTATATCATTGGTTCCAATAGAGCTACATAATACTAGCTCAAACAACAACTAAGATATCGAGGAAAATGGCCGACAAGAAAAAGCAAAGAAAACAGATGTTTGAAAACACTCTTAAAATAATGGAAAGCAATCTGGCGACCAACCCATCCTCTTCCTTGTACGCAGAGATCTTCGAGAAGGCAAGGGATGAACTAGCCGTATGACATGAATGGAAGTTGAAGGGACTCCAAATTACAGCCAGGATGACAAAATTTGAGCTAAATGAGCAAATGTCTAAACATTTTTTTGCTAAAATAAAAGGCAACAACAAATCCAACTCAATATAAGACTTAAGAGAATCTACGGGGCAGCAGGCAACCCGTACGGACAACGAAGAGATGTCGAAAGTTGTGAAGGTTTTTTAGAAAGAGCTATATCAATCCAAGACTTCTTCCACTACTCCTCTTAATGTATGGGAAGCCAGATCAAATATGTTACAATACCTAGACACAAAGATCTCAAAGGAACAGGGGGATAAGCTGGATGGACCCCTATCTATGGAAGAATTATACTTCGCGGTCCAACACATGAACAACAATAAGACCCCGGGCATAGCTGGACTAGTGAAAGAATTATGAGAAAAATTATGGCCTGTGATGGGAACGGATCTAATGAATTTTTACAGTGAGTGTTGGGAAAAAGAAGGCATGGGAAAACTCCTCAGTGCAAATATGATCACGCTACTCTACAAAAAGGGTGAATGAGAGGACATAAGAAATTATAGACCTATATCTTTACTCACACTCCCATACAAAATACTAGCCAAGGCCCTATCCTTCCATATACTCGATCTCATAGACAAATGTTTCCACATAGATCAGTCGGGTTTCATCCCAGGGAGATACATCCTGGAGAACATCATGACCGTCAACGAAGCCTCCAAGCAGATCATGGAAAATAAAATCAGCACAACAATCTTGTTTTTGGACTTTGAAAAGGTGTATGATTAGGTAAACTGGTCCTTCCTTGAAGCCAACATAGAGAAATGGGGGTGGACCCTAACTTCAGGAAGTGGGTGTGAGTTCTTTATAAAGATGCCTCCGGTTGTGTCTAAGTTTTTTTTTTTTTTCATTCTGGGGAGCATCAGTCCGGTTCCTATTCCTCCGACAAGTCAGAAAGAAATATCGCATCATGACACACACTCACACTTCCTTCCGTCCGGCCGAAGGAACCCTGACCAGCATTGATTACTCCCGCATTGTGGAGGATTGACTGTCAGCTTGCCTTACTTCCACCTTTCATCTCAGGTTCACTACATGAGCCTGTCATATAAATAATGAAGAGAAAGAAAGGTAAGAGAAGCTACGGAAGTTGCAGTATCGGAAGTCGCCCTCCGATATTATGTGACGTGTGATGGATCTTGTCCTTGTGTTGGCTAGGATCTCTGCCTTCTCCACCCTGCTTCTAAGTTGTATCAGTCTTTCCATCGTATGTGGAAGTCATTTATCTCTGCCACTTTGCCACTTGCTGTGACTTGCAAGCCACACCTTAGTGAAATTTGCCTTGATTCTTCTCTGTTGCTCTTCGTCATTTGCCATGGGCTGTCTCGTCTTGTGCCACTTACAAAGGATCTCCGCCTGAATCAACGTCCTTGTTTCTGCCATACCTTTTCCCTTGGAGTTGAGAGTCCCTCAATGGTTCTACAACACCTTTCCTTCCAGATGAACCACAACGTTAAATACACATTTCGTTAAAACTGATTTTTTTTCCAAAAAGTGAACTATTTCGAATATGAATGCATACACTGTACATGGGCCAATAGGGCATTATGCGGCAGTTTAAGTGGGGATAAATGGTCAGTATATGTGGTGTTGATAGGGTGAATGTTGTGGTGGGGCGTTTTGAGCCCTTCGTACATGAATAGTCGTTATTAAATGCGAATTAACAGACTGAGTGTATAAAATGGGTTCCCGTCCTCCTGGCTAGGTACAAGGAACGATTTTGCACAACATAAAAGGGCAGAGGCTCTTTGTACGACATCTCGTTGTCTTGGCTAGGTGTAAGGAACGGCTGTGACAGTCACACTACACGATATAAAAGGGCAGGGGCTATCTGTACAACAATTTGTTGGGTATGTGGTCCCTATGTTCCATAAAAGGTCAGGGGTCCGGCGCCCGACACCTTGCAAGTTGATGGACTGAACCCGTCAATTGTGGTCGGGCGGAACACACAGCCTGGTGCACTGACCAACCCGCAAACCGTCAGTACCCCTGCACCGAGAGAGAGAGAGAGAGAGAGAGAGAGAGAGAGAGAGAGAGAGAGAGAGAGAGAGAGAGAGAGAGAGAGAAAGAGAGACTGAGCTCCTTGCTTTAACCCGGAAAGGCATTGACAGATACTAGTTGAACAATGAATCAATTCGCAGTTATCGGTGTTCGACAGAGCACCTTACGGAAGTGACAAACATTCATTGGCTCTCTGTGCGGATTGCCATTAGCACTCTTAGGGAACCTTAATGCCAAGTTGATGTTAGGTCGTGATCAGTTTGGTGACTGAGCACCTTCAAGAAGTGTCAAACAGTCGTTGGTCGTCTGTGCGGATTGACATTAGCACTCTTAGGGAACCTTGATGATGGGTGTGGATTTGCTTCCCGCATGTTATCAGTTGTTGGGCAGTCTTTGATGTTGAAGTCCGTCACTGGGGCTAGTTTGGAGAGAGAGAGAGAGAGAGAGAG